CAGATAGTACTACTATCATACATAGCAACAAATTAAGGGCCGACGTTTGGGTAGTATAATCAGAATAAATGGAGTTTCAATTTGTCAATATAAGTACCTCTCTTTTATCTAGAGTGCTCGGATATATTTCTAGTCTAGCCTTGGTGGAAAAGTATGTGCATGACATTTTCGGATGCACGCAGCATTAAAATATGGCTTCGATTTATATGATTAATAAACGTCTGGTTATTTATACCCTCTTAGTGCTGATGCGAGGAAATATTGGACGACTTCCAAACTAATGACATGAAAACAAAATTTGACGAGGTACAAACATCACTGTTGCCCAGCTAAACGCTTAACTAGTATATGAAATATTGGTCAATCTAGGGACTTTATAAAATATTGCCGTAACTTATCCAACAAACCCAATTTGTCAAAAAAAACGAAATTTTCACTGTCAGTGTCGATAATCGGATTTAACTTAATGTGTGTGGATTAGAAGTAATCTTATCGCGAAAATTTTGGATTTAGTATGTCATCCAACTAGAGATATTCCTTGTGACACTGTATTTTTTCTTATTTGGCGTCTATGACGTTTAATCGGAGGTGAGGCAAATGAAAATCCTTCACCAATTTTAACCCCAATATATAATTTTATGCTTGCCGGGCTTTTGAGTCGAGTGTTATTTATGTACCTACGAGTTTTTATTAGAAAAAGTTTCATAGAAACATTCAGGGGAAAATATGATGACTGGGTGGGCCATGCATTTTTCTTTAAAATACAGAAATAAAAATTCTTTGAATAGTTCACTTTATACAGGGTGTACATTGAAAACTTTGCACCCAGATTATTTTGAACTACGTACTAAAATATTAAAATTGCCGCGACACGCCAATTTTGTTTTCGAGGGGGACACATTTTAGCGTTAAATACAGACTCGCTATTCAGTTCTCAAAGAAAAGTGATTAGCAGAAGTGTGTTTAGTAATTATTAATTCTAAAAATGGCTTATGATGAAAGGGTTGAAATAATTTCTCTCTATTTTAAAAACAATGATAATGCACGAACGGCAAGAATTTTTAATCAATGTCAAGCAAATAAACACACCTTCGATGTTTACGTTGCCAGTTTGGTTCAAAAGTTCTGTGAAACAGGATCAGTGGAAAATAAAAAACGACAATTGAAACTTTTTATAGTTTTCCCTTTGGCAGTTTGAACAATTAATTAAATGATTAATACAAAATTGTCTTTTATTTCTAAGCGTAAGCATTTTTTTTTTCAACAACAGGTGAACTAAAAATTGAAAAGAATTACATGATGACAACCAGAATTAAAAACAGTTTCGAATGAGGTGTCACACAATGTGTCCCCCTCGAAAACAAAATTGACGTGTCGCGGCAATTTTAATATTTTAGAACGTAGTTCAAAATAATCCGGGTGCAAAGTTTTCAATGGTACACCCTGTATATTTATAGAACGTTTACTATGTAATAAAATATTTCCTAATTTATGAGTATGGCATCTAAAGTAAGTACACGAGATGCCAGNTTTTACGTTTCAGTATATTTTCAGAAATGTTTGAGTAACATAATAATTTTATTACCATATTGTTCTCATAATGCCCTCAATTTTAGATAATTTTCATTTCAAAAGCGTTTTTGAAATAGTATAAATAATGTGAGTATTTTTTAAAATATCTCTAATACTCTTTTCTGATATTTTTATTTGTATTGTTAATGGCTTAATTCGAACTAAAAAAAGTTACATTGTATATTAAAAAAAAATAAATATGCTCTTCTAGTTTGGGGATGTGGCAACTTTTACCAAGAATTTCTTTCTTTCTGAGAAGCCACTGGAAAAAGTTTCTAATGTGGATTACGAATTTTGCCATTCATCGTACAAATATAAATGTCACAAAACAATATCAGAAGCATTTAAAAAAAGCTACACATTTTATATTGTTCAAATAATACGCTTCTGAAATAGAAATTTTCTAATGTTGAGACCATCATGAATATGGTAACAATGACGAACTGATAATTAGAAAAAGTTACCTAGTTATGATTATGAATCTTGAAATGGTAGGTACATGAAAAACAAATAACATTACTGAAAAATAATATAGTTATAATTTCTTCTACGCATGGTCAATACTACATCTATCCTTTTAATATCCAGCAGAAATAAGGATACAAAATGATATCTTGACAAAGTAAATATCTGTAGGTATACCTAAACTCTTTTATTTACATATAAACAAATATAAACATTTGTACAGAATATAAAACAAATGACGTCTTATTTCACTTGGTTCATCCATATTTCAAATAGTTCTCACTGACTAAGTCGTTGCCCTTCAAATTATATCGAAACGTATAGTTGTTGTTCCATTTTCTTAGTTCTTGTCCCTTGTCCTCTTGTCTGTAATACCTAGGTAGTGGCAGAGACAACCCTTGTCTCTGGTAGATGGGTATAACTATATTTAGGTAGACGTGACGCAAAATTGGAAATCTCTTTACACATATCGTTTTAAACATTTTGCATCCATATTCATTATTTTATATGCACCTTACAATAACCACAACTGCACACACTACAAATTATCACATAAAATAGCGTCAAAGTAAAGATGAAGAACAACGAAACCAAGCAAACTGAAAAAACGCAAACCTAACCTAACATAATACGAATTGAAACGACACACGGGAAACAAATAAACTCGGGCTGTTACGCGCAGTCTACGCAAGTCACGAACATACATTTTTTCTATACTTCTGTTATAAAATAAATATGCTACCACATTTTTTTTCTAATTATGTCTGTACAAATGAACTAACCCTTGAGAGGGATTGGGGATTGAGAGCAAAATTTAACTAATGCCGAATGTTCCATAAAAAAAGCAAAAATAGCAAAGGGTTGTTCGTCTGTTATGTTTCCGAGATCGAAAGGGAATGTTTCGAGTAATGTTTCAAACTCTCTTCAATTGTAACGTTTCGGCTATGTTTCACTAAATAAGTTTTCATGTGCATCTCATTTGCAACGTTTCATTTACGTTTCGTGTTTAGTGGGAAGTATTTTTTTTTTCAACAACAGGTGAACTAAAATTGAAAAAAATTACATGATGACAACCAGAATTAAAAACACTTTCGAATGAGATGTCACTCGACCTAGAGTGCCATTTAAGATTCTAAAGTTGAATGCGCCCCCGGGAAGGGGGTTGTTCTGGCGAGTCTGTATTTAACGCTAAAATGTGTCCTCCTCGAAAACAAAATTGACGTGTCGCGGCAAATTTAATATTTTGGAATGTAGTTCAAAATAAGCCGGGTGCAAAGTTTTCAATGGTACACCCTGTATATTTATAGAACGTTTGCTATGTAATAAAATATTTCCTGATTTATGAGTATGGCATCTAAAGTAAGTACACGAGATGCCAGGTGTTTAATTTTGGATCAAGATGTTTAAATTAAACGTAAAATTTACCAACTGACAAGGCCAAAGATTAACTGCGACTGAAATTGAAGAAGATAATACAAATAGGTAAATGCAAAGACTAAGACTAACCTAATAAATAAAACGTTACAAAGTTTATATGGACTCTGAAAAAGGCTTTGCCAATAATTAGTGTAAATGTCAAGTATAAATATAACTATTAATATCAAAAGAATTTTGATTTAAATCTTCAGTTTGTATTAATTTTTTGGGCTATTTAATTTATTTTAGTTACAGCAAAAGGGATATATCTCGGGATATATCAAAAATATAAATTATCCTAAATTTTCAGTTTACTCATGTTCAATTCTACGTAATACTCCTATTATAAATTATCTTTAATCAGACTTCTTACTCTGCTTTAGTTGTTACTGTTGATGTTGTTGTAGATGTTATTGCAGTCGTTGTTCCTTCTGCTGCTACAGTTGTTGTTGTTGTTTTTGTTGTTGCTGTTGCGGTTGCTGTTGTAGATCAATAATACAATAACAGTGACAACAACAGCAGCGATAACAGCTACAACAACTACTACTGCTACTTACTACTAGTAGTAGTAGTAGGTAGTACTACGGCAACAACGACAACAACAGATGCTGAAGCACCAGCAAGATCAATAAGAGCAATAACAACGACTTCATCTAATCTAAAGCAACGATGCGGTGATAACGCTCTTAAATATTGTTACTTGAACTGGTTTCCTTAAGCTTTGGTTTGTTAGAACCGTGCGTCGCAGACGACATACGCTGTTAGCAGAATCGGTTTTGAAGGGAGAGTGTTTTGTTAGATTTAGTGCTTCTGATTGTATGCTGGTAAATGCAGACGAAAATATTGATTATTACTGTGACAAAATTTATTTTTATCATGACAATGGCTGAACATTTTTGGTGACAATACCTATTGAGAAAGAAGAACATAAAAAAGATCTTCTATTGAATTTAATTAGGTGTCGTCGTCAAAATAAAAGTGAAAATCAATGTTTTCTAACAGACGTTTGGAAGGAACGGTATACAATGGGGGATGTTCTCGTACGAAATCGATCAATTTCTCGTCTTCCTCTGGTGAATACTTGGTTGCCATTTTAAAATTCGTTAAAAACAAACGCTTTTTAGCACTGTACACTGTGAGCTCAACAGTACGACTGCGCTGAAATCAAATCAAATTTGATTTCGACTCGACTGAACTGACGACGCACAAAATTTTCTGCCTACCGTGAGTCCGCCTGAGCAGAATCTAACAAACCGGCTACGCATCTTCTTGTGTTCTAAATTTCAGCGTAAGTCCGACGCGCACAATTGACTTTCTGATTTGCGTTGTATACAGCTCTAACAAACCATAGCTTAAGTCGATAGTAAGCTTTAGGAGGATACGAAGCGTTCTACCGAGTTCGCAAGGAATATTTTGAACACTATAGTAACTGACTACTTAGTAAGGAATACACTTATTATAAAATAAAGAAGTCCGTCTTAGTTGTAACTGTCATAAATATTAAGTTTATTACTCCCAAAATTATTTAATGGAAACTTTTATTTCAGATTTGAGGACAGCTTTCGACCTGTTGGACAGAAACCAAGACGGTCGGGTAACTCCGGGAGAACTGAAGATTATGTTAAATAATTTAGGTATAGAAATAAAGGACGATAAGGCTGAAGAAATCATACGGACAGCGAGCCATTCAGGTATGATTTGTAATTTGACAAAAATATCAACAAAGTAATCTTTTCTTTTCGGTTTCTTAGGCAACGAACTGATAGATGAGAACGATTTTCTTAGTTTCGTCAAACAAATTCAGCAACTAGCTCCCAGTTTGGTTGAGGAAGATGCCACGATGGATTTGATGGCAGCCTTCAAGGTGTTCGATTTAGACGGTGATGGATTCATCACCAGAGAAGAACTCAAAGTGGCGATGGAAATGATAGGGGAGGACATTACAGAGGATCAACTGACTCAGGTCATCATTATGGCTGATACAGATCATGATGGAAAAATAAACTATGAAGGTAGACATGTACTTCCCCTAAATATTTTAAATGCAGATTAACATTAACATTTAGTTGCATAATTTAGTTAATTTTTCTTATCTTAAGTGAATCCGAATAGGCAGTCATATAACAGTCACAGATGAGTAATTTTAAAAAAATTACATCCATGCTCCAACTAGGCAAATATTCTGAGGATGTTTTTAAATATTTTGAATTTTCGTTTCACAATTTGGATCAGCTTCCACCCAAAAGAATGCAAAATTACTCTAAGGTGGCAAATAAAGTTCTTAAATTTTTTACACCATTTACAACCTCATATTTGTGGAAATAAGTTTCTCATCAATGACTGTTTCCAACATGTACCTAAGCATTTTAAATACAGAACCAAGGCTTAAAAAAATTGTTTCTCAGATTAAGCAAATATTTCCTTTAATTTTAATCAATTGTAAGATAATTTGTTATTTTTATTATTTTCAGAATTTGTTAAGTTGCTGTCATCTTGAAGTCGATCCGCACGAGTAGTAGTATTATTATAAGCATAAATTTGTATCAAATTTATGTTCATATACAGTCAGATGTATAAATTGTATATAGTGTTGAAAATAAGGCTGTGATCTGGTACCTAACCGAGTTTTCCCAGAAAATACCCACAGAAGAACCAGTGTTATGTTGTAAATAACTATTTGTGTATAATTTGAAATTCGCAAAGAAAATAAATAGTTACCATGATATAATTAGTGAAAATCAGATTTTTATATTAATTTTATATATCGATTGTTCATATCTAAAAATTGTAATGTTACATAATAAAGTTAGACAAGTAAATGACTACCCATTTTTTTTCCAGTGAATACACTTCACGTCAAAATTCATGCAACAAAAAAAAACACCAATATACACAAAGAGAAATCTATATAAAAGGTTTACATGCATATGGAACTGGAAAAAAAGTAGTTAGAATATTGTGACGTAAAAAATTATTTGGAACACATAACAAGCATGGGAGAATTATTAAAAACATTATTCCTACATGTACTTATATGAAACATGGAAGAATAGAAACCTATTATTAAATTTGGAGGTGATAATTTAACGTGATGAGTTACGAAGAGAGGAATCAAATGAATCAGTAATTCATGTAGGAAAACTATATAATAATCAAATATGTTAAAAGTAGATAATCGCTGTTCATTCGAAAAGCTAACTGGAGAGTAGACCGTTATATTTAAACCATAAGTGTTTAGTCACAGACAATATAACTATCGTTGAAGCCTCTAACGTTCTTTAAATGTCATTCATAACAAGGGCTCGAGACAACAGGTATTCAGCTTGGATCTCACAAAAGCATAAATTTTAAATTCATGTTAGCTTTAGATACGATATAATCAATATGGCAATAATTTAACTGCAAAAATTAATGCAAAATCTCTATATCGGATAGTGGAGTTAAGTTTCTGATCATTTAAAATACAATAAAATCTAATAAGAGCCGTTTTCTAGTAAATATCACTGAATTAGATCAGTGTTCAGAAACAGATTATAATTAATGTACTATGGATTTCTGGGTTGTTTTGTCATGGCCATAGTAACTAATTGCCGCCAGATACAGTTTTATATTGCACTTTCTTATACCTAGCAAGCAATGACCTGTCCTTGTTACTGTCAGGTTAGGCTCGTCAGGGAGCGGACTGGGTTTTATCCCTAGACCCACCACTGATGTTCATTTCGGTTCTTGTTGTTGATTCTAAGCCATTAAGGGACTACTCAGTCACGATGAGGCTTCTGCATTGAAAGTAGGAACATTGGATGCGACCAATTACAGAGGGCACTACGAAATGTTTCAGATCAATATTGTCTGGATAGCAGTTCTATCCATATCGGCCTTAGGACCAATAACAAGAACCAAAATTAACAGAGAACACAGACCCTAGCCTGAGAACAAGCACAGGTCAAATATTCGTAATTTCAATGTCATACTGTAACAAAATGTAGTCATCATGTAATATGTGATTCAATTGTCATAAATAATTCTAAGTCTCTTTTTAAGAAACATATATTTTGTTATTAGCTTTCATAATTTTTACTCTATTTTAAAGGTATTATAGATACCTGTAATTCAAACGATTTTTTTTCTAACAAATCTTGTCAAACAATTTTCTTTGATGCAGGAAATTTAAGTAAGTAAAATATATCTAATCCCACACAAAAGATTCCTAACTGCTGATATTACGAGAAACAATGCCCCAATTAGCATTGAATTACACTAGCAATACCTAGTTTTTTGTGTTGGTCTTTATCAAGGTCGATGAAAGGAAGCAAAATACATAGATGATTCTTCTTTGAAGAATTACATTATTACACAATTTCAATATATCAGATAGGTACATGTATTTATATACAGGGTGTTTGGAAAAGTTTGTACAAAATTTAGGGGGGTGAAAGTAGAGCCAAAAATAGTAAAAAAAGTTCCTATAAGCATTGGTCCTCCGGAGCACCGTTACGGAGATATAGCCCTCCAAAGGGGTCTTATCATTTGAATATATTTTAAAATAACTTTCTTTCTGATTAAGATAACGGAATGAAAATTGTAGGTAATAATTATACCATAAGGGTCTTTAACTACCATAAGTTTCATCAAAGTCGGTTATAAATAAGAATAACTACTCTTGACAGAAATTTTTCAATTTTTTTTATTTCTTTTTAATTATCAAGCAAATAATATTTTTTAATGAATTAGACTTTTTTGAAGAAAAAATGTCTACTTATTTTTTCGAATTCTGCGTAGTTTAGACAGAAATAATAATTTTTTAAATAATGTATGGCCATGGGCGAAGTTAAGTCATCGGATCTGGGGGGGCTAAAGCCCTAATATGAAAAAATGTATATTTTTTTCATTTTATTTTTGTGTATGTATCAAAGTAAGGTAAATATATTTTTGTACCAATCCATAAATATTAAAATTAAATGAGAAAATTTTTTTTTTCAGTCAAATAATTTGATTTTAAAAGTTTTTAAAATAAATTCTTCCAGAATATCGTCTAGAATCAGGGATTTTGAAATGTCTCTTTCAATGTTAGCAAATGCTAAAGAACTGAATCGGTCTTGACCCACGGTTGACCTTAAAATTTGGAAATGTGTCTTTTCTGACAACATATGTAATATCGGATATAGGTACTAATATTTTCGTCCCGTTTCCTGACAGTTCCTTATTACGGTCGTTTCTGCCATTAAAACCTCTTTATCAATTCCGACTTCTGTTTCTTATGTTTCTTTATTTTCTTATTTGTGTTTTTTGTGCCCAACTGTGCATTTCATTCGTTTTTTTTACAACCACATTTTATTTATGGTTTCTGTAATGGAAATAGTCTGGCAGCTCAAAAAGAGTATCGGCATCAGCTTTGCCAGATTTTTTTTCAGGCAAAGCGGGATTTTGAAACATTTTGAACAAAAATGCGGGTTTCTTTCATCCAAAAACGGGACATGCTACGGGTTTGTATAATTGATGGCTAAAAAAAAAGGTCTCAGGATATATTGTCCTCAAAATAAAATCGATGCCTAAAAAAAACAAAACCAGAGCGGGAAAAGCGGGACTGAGCGTGTCCCGCGCGGGACATTTAATTTTGACTTAAAAAGCGGGACGTCCCGTCAAAATCGGGACGTCTGTCAACGCTGATCGGCATACTCACGGTTAGTAAAAGCATAATATGGTTCATGGTTGTAAAAAAATCGAATGAAATGCGTAGTTGAGCACAAAGATTGTGATCTTTGTGCTCAACTAAGAAAATGAAACATAAAAATTTAAATCATAGCACGCGAAAGTGACAATCATTAGTATCATTATTCATTACAATGAAACTGTCACTATGAAAGATGCCAACTTTGTGAAAATGTTAAAAAAAGTTACTGTTCTGAGTCATACAGTATTTACAAAATAATTATTTCTGACTAAACTACGCAGAATTCGAAAATAAAAGTAGATAAATTTTTTCTTCAAAAAAGTCCAATTAATTAAAAAATAATATTATTTGCTTGATAATTCAAAAGAAAAAAAATTCGAAAATTTTCTGTTAAGAGTAGTTACAAAACTATCCTTATTTATAACCTTATTTTGATGAAACATGGTTCCGTTATCTTAATCAATAAGTTATTTTAAGAAATATCCAAATGATAAGACCCGTTTGGAGGGCCGTAACGGTGCTCTGGAAAACCAATGTTTATATGAACTTTTTTTACTATTTTTGACTCTACTTTCACCCCCTTAAATTTTGTACCAACTATTCCAAACACCCTGTATATTATTTTTAATTTTTATTTTGGATAATTATTATTTATTATTGGCTATTTACTAAGGTATTGCTGGTGTAATTCAATGCTAGTTGGGGCACGTAGCCCATAGAGTAGTTGTTTTCTGCAATATCAGCAGTTAGGAATCTTGTGCGGACAGATATTTTTTGCATAGGTACTTACCTAGATTTCTGGTACAAAGCACATTGTTTGACTTCATTTGATAAGATTTGCCAAAAAAAAAAGATTTTTTTTTAAATTAACATAATACCTTTAAAATGGAGTAGTAAAAAATAAGTCAAGAGCATACAGCAGTAACTGAAAAGAAAGACCACGTGTGATGTCATTAAAATAAAAATAAAATAAATAAAAATAAATAAAAAATATTAAATCGAAGTACAGACCTTTGAGGTACTCCCAAAGTCGCTTTTATCTCAACCAGATTGAAACCACAGCAATGCAGTGACAAGCGCCTATTAAATAAATAGGTATATACAATTTTTATTTTAATAACTACTCCGATCATAACTGCTAATTTACGATGTGTCAGATGCATGAACTTATTAGCACCATCACTAATGTCGCATCTAATAAATGTGCCGCCTTTACATATGTTTTTAACTTTAGAAACCGAAATCTCCGAGTCAATCGAATCAATGTTGTTCATGATTATCTACTTTAGTACGTATTTGTATTTCTTTGATTGTTGTTCTTTAGCTTAACAACAACCGTGGAAATTACTCTTTATTAAGGTATTAAGCTAATCCAAACAAATCCTATCAAATAAAGTGAAACAACATTCTTCGATACCAGAAATCTAGATATGTAAAAGGCATCAAACGTCACAAACAAGATTGCTAACTGCTGGTAACGCAGTCATTCAGAGAGACATCCTATATTCTTGTTTTCACCGTTGACAAAGTTTGATCATGTAAAAAAACAGCTGTTATAAAGAGATCTTTTTATTCCCATATTTTACTTGGGATTGTTTCATCAGGCAGCTTCCTTTCTCGTTACATACATTAACATAAAACATTTATGTATACTCAAATGAAAATTAATGAAAATGACGTTCATAAGAATCGATGTTTGTCAAAAGATTTTCCTCGCCATATGGATTATAATTGTTTTCCTATCTACAATTTTTCTTATTTACCCTTTTAAATTTCTTTCATAAATACATATTATTAATAGAATATACAGTGACGGCCCATTAGAATTATTTCAGACTACTTCGATTTGAATTTTGAAAATTTGGGATACCGGGTTTTCGGGCGTGCCCTTGTCAACTAAAATAATAGTGTCCACGTACCACTTCTGGTTATACCGGAAGTCGCCATTATCTTGCTAATTTTAAATGGAACACCCTATATATTATTGCAACTTTGAATTCTACGTGTTATTTTAGGTAAACTTTTATGAAGTTTCCCTATTCCTAAAATTAACCGCATTCGAGATATTTAATTTTTTCCAAAAAAATGGAGAGAAACAGTGACTAGCTTCAAACCATGTGTATTTTGTAGTAAGAAAGATAAAGCAACAATATTTGTAGGGGGGGATAGGGGATAGCTAGACCCCTAAGCTTCCCATCCATACTTTCAAAGTCGATTAATTGCATAGGTACAGGGTGCTAGAAATTTAATGCCGAGTTTAGTTAACTTCAAATCTTCATAAGTCGTTTTTTTTAAATGGAACACCCTGTATGTTTTTCTATATTCTGATACACAATTTAATTCTCTTTCGATATATACCTATCTCTTCTAGTTTTTAAGTTATCTACTTTTTGTTTAATCACCTAAAATCATGTAATTTCTTGCGAGGATAGCTGAGACAGCCTGTATGTATTTATGAAACAACCATGGAAGTTTCAGCAGCATCCTTTGATTACAATAATGGCTTAGTTTCAGAATAATTGCCATAAAAAAACTTTTTTATTTGCAGCATCAACAATTTCCTTCTTGGCTTTAACAAATACTTTTTCTACATTTTTTATTACGTCAGCAATTTCTTTTTATCTAATTACATTACGGGTGAACCACCTGCCTCCTTCAACGCTGATTTCCAAATTAGTATCTAGTAGAGAGCAAAGATCATTCGTCAGCAGCGAAAGTGTATGAGTGTCACAGTTTCAATGTCTACTAACTGGTACAAACCATTACTTTTATTAAGTATAAAAGAGTCATTACTTCATTACTTTTTATCGACTTTGTTGTTTTTTATTTAATAAATTTCCTTCAGAAATTTGCCCTTTTTGTCTTAAGTCTTATGTTGAGCTCAAAATAAAATTTTAAGTAAAGAATCTAATCTAGCTTTCATTAAAAACCTTAAAAATACGGCGCTAACTTTAAAAATCATTGTGAAACTTTTCTTCTAAAAAAAATATATTTTTTATATGGCCTTAAATATAATAAAAATAAAAATAAAAAAGGACACATCACAGATGCTTTTACAATCACCAGAAGATCTACTAAAACGTCAGCTACAGCAAAATGCAGCGTTACTCCAAATTTTGGGTCATGGAAAGGTCAGCAAAAACACCAACGAATCACACTGAAAATTTATTAAATGTAAAATGGAATCAACTTATATCACGCAATCTAAATACTACCGAAGTTCTGCTTAGTGGGTTGTTGGTTTTCCCTGAAAGTATTTATTAGGAATATGGCTACAACTGTAACGAGGAATCCAGACATGGCGCCGACAATGTCCCGGCTGCTCATTTTCTGCCATTCTTTAAATAGAATCGCTGAAGCTGTGATTACCATAGTTGTAAAAAATACATAGTATATTGGTGTAACGACGTTTGTGTTGAACAAGTCTAATACTCGATTGAGGTAGGTCATCTGAATGCAAAGACAAACAGCTATAATGACTAGTAAACCAAAAATAATCCATAAATGTGTTGAAAAAGGTAGAGTACCTGTAAAAGAAAATTATGCATGATGAACCTAGCATAATTCATATTTTTTCCTTAAATATACCAGATTACAGGTTGCGCCACGTACTGTAGTATTGAAGAAATTATTTGTTTGATATTTCAAGAGTTAAATAAGTATAACAGAAGCCTTAAAAGCAGTCTTTATTATTTTATTCAACTGTATTTTAAAATATAAGAAAACGAACATTTTTTTAATATTCATCAAAAATAAAAATTTATACAAAAGTTGTTAATTTTATATCTATTTACTTACCTGAAAAAAAGTCTTTAAGAGCCAGTCCGAGGGCTTTACAAGCCATTACCGTCAAGCTGCCGATGGCAGAGCAAAGAGTTATGTACACTGAAACATATTTGTTCCCGTAACGGGGTCCTATATATACCAGAATGATTACTGTTATTGATATGACCACTAGAATATAATTCAAGAAAGTTGGTTCTCTCACTTTATTTAATAAGTCATCAAGAGTTCCTGTCTGTTCTTCTTTAGGTGCATGAATCACCATGACCGTTGATCCAACAATGCACAAAACACATCCTAACTAAAAATTTTATTTGATTAACTAAATATTAATACTTATAAAAGGTAATGTTTTAACATTGTCCTCATCAATATAAAATGTATACCTTTCCTAAAATATTTAAAGTTTCATTAAGACATTTGGAAGCTAAAACGGCAGATACTAATACACTTAGTGCACCCAAAGGCGTTACTAATGAAGCAGGAGCAAAAGCATATGCTCCAAAATTTGCCACTTCTCCGACACCCACTGAAACAAGACGTAAAATCTAAGATTTTATTCTGTGAATATAAATAACATTTTTACTTACTTGTTAGAAACCCGAACCACCACATCCAATCATTCAAATAACCGAATCCTCCAGCTCCAGCCCTAAGACTGCCCTTTCGTGTCAGTCTTATCAACGCAATTTTTTTAATAATAAAACTTGATCCAATAAATACTGAAGAACTTATAGCCAAAGTAAGACCTACATAAAAGTCTAAATTACTGTAGGTTTTCTCTTTCAAAACTTCTGAAGTATTTTCCATAATTTTATATTAAATTTTCTTCAACTTTTTGCTATAATTCTTTGCACTATGTTACTTATCTTGTTTATTTTCCTATAATGTTTCAAATTCCTCATAATTATTAAGTCATAAAAGATATCTTATATTGTATTTGATGTGCTAATATTACTAATCCTTTCATGGTATAACTAATAAATAATTCAGAAATTTTTGGTTCACATCTTGACAAACAATGACATTTATGACATAAAGATTTAGTGATGGGAGATTTCGAGTGAAAAATCGAGTGGTACTCGATTATTGAGATCACTCGAGATATCTCGAGATGTTTACTCCCACCACTCGAGTGATTATTACCCTACGGTTGCACCCCAAAATGTTAGTGCATACTGCAAATAGTCACTGATTGCGTAACCTTTTTTTATAATAAAACGAAAAAGTGGTTAGGTTTTGAAGTGTGTGCTTTTTTTTAGCTACGCTTATAAGTAATATATTACTAATACAAACATATTTGTGCGCCGCTGGGATGAAAACGACCAATATCTCGTATCTCGAGTGATCACTCGATTATTAGAAGTACTCGATTAACGATAACTCGATTATCAAAATTGGTCGATTATGCCCATCACTATAAAGATTTGTTTAACATCTAGCACCTAGTAGCTGTTTTCCAATTGCCAGGGAACTGTTCCTGAAGTGTTTTTCTATTTTCTACTCTTTAAATACTCCAAACTCCAGAGATATAAAGAACATCTCAGTAGTTGCTGTCTTACTCTAGCATGCTGCGATTGGTTGAAAATGAATGTTCCAACCAATCGCGTGCGTATATTTAGAGATGATAATGCCAAACGCGCCTTTTTGAGTGCGCACTTTGTCAGTTGAACTCGTTCGATTTAGAAATTAGATGCCACCAAATTAAGCAAGAATGCAAATTTTTCTACACATGTATAATATGCCGTTTAATGAAGTAGAAGCATCATATTGCTGGCATGCTCGTCAGCCAACTTATTTTCGTCTGTATGACGTCACCTGAAATTAGCTCAAGTCTCTAATTTGTACTATATTAGCTGCTTTCCAATCGTCTTGGAACTGCGCCTAAAGTATTCTACTGTTCTATTCTTTAAATGCTTCAAACTCAAACTTAAAACAATTGGACACTCCTAAAAGGAACAACATAAACATTTGATACTTTTCAAATAGGCTGTGTTCTTATATTCATCATTTCGATAATGGATTCCGTAGAGCCAATAAGAGATTAGAATTTTTTAAACAGACCAATTTTAATATATCGATGGAATTTATGGCATTAAAACGAGGAATAAAAGAACACGGCCATACTTGTTTTTATTATTGTAGTGAGCCAAATAAAAATTTCACTTATTAAAGCACACGGTGCATATAATTTCCGCGATAACTTCATAGTTGCAAATAATCTTATGAAACATATTTAGAAATGTTAGAACTGATGATAACAGTTTGAGAGTATAAAACTCTGTGCAAAAGGTGGTGCCTTAAACATAAGTGCAAGAAAACAGAAATCATATCGTCTTCTTCTTCCGCATTGAGTAACAAATAATGTAAAAGAGGCATCACATCACAATTCGTAATTAATTTACAAAATCATAATTTAAGCCTATCATTTTTTGTCTCTTCTTCTTCTTCTTCTTCTCAATTGATGGCCTAACATTTATATGTATTTGGCCAGGTTCACACTTTATTCTATAACACATTCTCGGAGGATATACCGGGTGGTATGTCTGGGAGTTCCCATGTCCTCGGAGATTTAACTTTCTTCAGATTTGTGTTCGGATTTTCGCCGAAAGGGGTTAGTAAGACAGATAGCACAACAAAGGAAAGACTCTTCTCGCTCCGGGGCAACTGCGGAGCATTACACACCTGAAATGTTGCCTCGGTTTAAGAATCCCAGGACATGAATAGAGGGGTTTTGTATTTTTTGTCCTACCTGTGTATATAAATATACATATATACACATATATATTTTTTTGCCTGTATTTTTTATTTTCAATTTTGTTATTAATATATTCTGTTTTGTTATATTCACATATCCTTGTATGCCTTTGTGTACACAGTGACCCATTCATATGTTGTTTTTTTATTTGTTATTGTTTTTATTTTTATTTATTTATTATTATTTTATTTTATTTTTTTAACTTAATTCAAATATTCCATTATTCTTTATAAATTTATTTGATTGGTATTTAAAAAATTCATTAGAATTATTGATCCTTCTACAGTCAAATTCATCATTATTAGTTTTACATTAATCGGGGTTGGTGTATTACACGCTTGGGCAATTAGATAATATATGTCAATATTTGGAATTTTGTTAATTTCACATTCAAAAATGATATGATCTAAATCACCTATTTGGCCACATTCACATTCTGGGCTATCATTAACACCAATTTTGAATTTATGTGCTTCGGTGAGACAATGACCAGTACGCATACGTATCATTGTAGAACAGTGATTTCTGTTAAAGTATGGGAATGATTGAAACCACGGTTTTTTGGGGAACCTATACTGTACCCCCGAGTACCATTTACCTTTATTTTTCAACTCGTTTTCCCAAAAATGATGCCATTTATTATTAAGGAATGTTTTGCATGCAATCAAAATGTCATTTTTATCTAGTGGAATGTTGTTGGTGACTGCAAAATGTTTCCCTAAGTTTGCTAGCCAATCTGCATTTTCATTACCTAGAATATTAGTATGTCCCGGAATCCATGCTAATTCAATACATGTTCCATTATTATTAGAATTAATGATCATTTCTTTTGTTAGAATCGTGATATAATCTTTTCTTTTATAATTTTTGTAAGAAGTTATTTTTTCCAAGGCGCCCTGAGAATCGGAGAAAATTACCGCTTTTTTGATATTGTTTATCAGGCAGTAACTACAAGCTTTATTTATCGCAACGATTTCTGCTGTGCATATTTGTGTAAATTTGGGGAGGCTATCATGATAGGAGTAATTAGTTTGTGGTATGAATACACCCACACCCACTTTTTCTTCGACAGGATCTAGAGATCCATCTGTGAAAATTTGACAATAATCCGAATATGATTGTTCTATTAGGTATTTGAATTCGTTATTGTTATCTACACCCTTTTTTAGTTTTAAATTCTTGTAATCTAAAGTATGCATTTGATGATCGTATTCATATACAAAAAATGGTATATTATCTAATTTTTTAATCTGTTTAAAGTATTGTGAAAAATCCCTGTATGTTTTAATTATTATTGGTTCCTCTCTGTTTTTCCAATAATTAACTTTTAATGTACAATATTCATGAAGGTCTTCAATTATATTTTGGATAGGATGATCTATTATTGAATAAACCTTTGTTAAATATTTAATTGTTAACCATATTTTTCTGTAATCAATTGACATTTCTGCGCATTCTGCTAGTAAAGCTGTTCTCGGGGTTGATCTCATACATCCTGTTATTATTCTTAGGGCTTGGTATTGTATTTTTTTCATTTTGTTGTTATTACTTTTGCTTAGGGGACTGATTGCTTGGCATCCGTAATCTAAATGAGTTCTAATTAGACTTTTATATATATTATGCAAAGTGTTAGGGTCTGCGCCCCACCAGGTACCACATAATGCACGCATGATATTCATATTTTTTTTAATTTTATCTATAATATACGTTGTATGTTTATTAAAATTTAAATTATGATCCAATATTATCCCTAAGTATTTTACCTCCTTTGTCCATGTGATGTTGTTATTATTATATTTTGTATTGCCTGTTATTTTTTTGGAATTTCCTTTTCTAAATATAACGGCTTGAGTTTTGTTGCTAGAAATCGTGAGATTATGTTTTTCAAACCAAACCTGGAGTTGACTTAGAGCTTTGTTAATTTGTTCAATTAAATTTTCTATCTGGTACCCACTGCATAAAATAACAATGTCATCTGCATAAGATATGATTTTAATATTTGAGGGTAGTTTTTCCTGAATATCATGAATGTAAATATTAAATAATAAAGGGCTTATCGGAGACCCTTGCGCTAAACCAATGTTAGTAACATTATTTCCTATTAGGTTTCCATTTTTATCTTTAATTTGAATAATTCGATTTGAGATGAGATTCATTACGCAATTACACAAGTATGTGGGAATGCCAATTGTTATTAATTTTTTATATAATTTGTAAATATTAACATTGTCGTATGCTGCTTTTATGTCTAGGAATACCCCTACCGTAAACATATTTCTGCTAAACCCTAATTGGATGTATGTTGTTATATAACTTATATTATCAACTACGCTCTTTCCTGATCTGAAACCGCTTTGTAGATCCCCGAAAATGTTGTTATTTTCAACAAACCATTCTATCCTATTTTTTATTAGGCTTTCCCATATTTTGCAAACACATGATGATAATGCTATTAACCTGTAGTTATTTGGATTGTTGTCTTGTTTATTTGGTTTGAGGAAAGGGATTATAGTATGTTTCTTCCAATCCGGAGGGATGTGTTCTCCTTCTAGGTATTTGTTAAATAAATTAAGTAATGTTAGTTTGACATTTATGGGGAGGTTGTTTAGCATAGAATATGAAATTTCGTCGACTCCCGTCGCAGTGTCCTTTTTATATTTTAAATTTGTTTCAAATTCGGCATATGTAAATTTGTTAATGTTTTCGTTGTTATCAATTATTTGGAACCCGGGATCAATCTGGCAGACAGTTAACTCGTTTAAAATTTCGTTCGCGATTTCAGTTGTTGGAAGTTTAGTATCATTATTGTTTGATAATGCATATGAGAATTTTTTTACCATAGACCATATTTCTGTCGTGCAAGTATTTCTATTTAGTTTTGAGCAAAATTCTCTAAATTTATTTTTTTTTTTAATTTTAATTACTTTTTTTACTATCGCTATACTTTTTTGAACTGCTATATAATTGGTTACAGTCGGATTTTCTCTAAATTCCCTGATCGCTACTTTCCTACCCTTAACAATTTTTGCACATTCTTCATCCCACCACGGGGTTGATGGATACTTATTATTATTAAATTTGTTATTTTTTCTTGGAATGCACTCTTCCGCAGCGTTATTAATAATGTTATATAATTCGTTATAATTAATATTTTTATTGATAGAATCTGTTTTTTCTGTTATATGAAGATAGTATTTTTTCCAATCTGCTTTCTTGAAGTTTCTTTTTGGTGGACTGTTGTAATGATGTAGGATTTGTGCTTTATGAATTGTACACAAGATCGGGAAGTGATCGCTTGATCCGCAGTCTGGTATCACACTCCAATTTGTTTTTATTGCGATTTGTGGTGAACATAATACTAAGTCTATTGCACTTACATTTGAACCGGGAGGGGTTAATCTAGTGGGAGACCCGTCATTCATCAATATTAGGTTTAAGGTTTCTAGAGTTGATTCTATTGTATTTCCATTAAAATCTTTTTTTTTACTTCCCCACAATGGGTTATGTGAATTAAGGTCGCCCATAATGATTCTTGGGGAATTGTATGTATTTACAAATCTAGACCATGTTGCTATGTTAATTTTATTGCCTGAGGGGCTATAGATGTTAATTACTGTGATATTATTTATTTTTATTGCCATCGTTTGTGTATTTTCAGGAAGGAAAGGATGGTTTTCTGTTACCACTGTGAAATCTATATTTTTTTTTATTGCAAAGGCAACCCCTCCATACCCGTCTGTTCTATCCTTTCTGATTATTTTGTATTTTTTAATGTGAAAGCTTTGATTTGATTTTAGCCAAGTTTCATTTAAAGCGATAACATCTGGCTCATATTCATTTATCAATAAAATTAAATTGTGTTTATTTGCGTTTATGCTTCTAATATTCCAGCTAATAATTTTTAAATCTACTTTATTATTATTTTTATTATACATTTTTTATTATTTGTTTTTGTTTGTTATTTAATAAAATGGGTCTGTTGAGCACCCTGGTTTGTCCCTGTCCACATATGTGGTATTTCGTTTGCAAATATGTTCTACAAAGCCTATCACTTGTTTTATTTGTTCCTCACTCATGTTACTAATCAGTTCTGCTATCATATTTTCTTGATTTATGCTATCGGTGGGTGTGTTTACGATTATTGGAGAATTACTGTAACTATTACTCCTTCCCGAAGGAGTTACTAGACACTGATTGTGTGCTACTTTATCAAATCCTGGTGTATCATTGGATTTTCTTTTTTTTGGATTTTGTGTAACCTGACTATATGATCTTAAATTTTTACTTTTATTATCAATCTCATCTAAACATACTATGCCCGAATTTTTACTTAAAACTGGGAAGTCCCGTGGATGTACATAATTTGTTTGTCTTTGATATGTTTTTGGAATTTTTTTGTTTGCATCAAAGAAGGATATATTTTCCATTGCCATTTTTTCTCTTATAGCTAACTGTCTAATGTATTCCGGACAATTTTTATCTGTTGAATTGTGATTCGTACTGGCGCAATTGAGACATCTCATATTTTCTACACAAGAGCCCTCATGAGTGTTTGTGCAAATGTTGCATTTTTTTTTCCCTTTGCATTGTTTAAGAATGTGTCCAAATCTGAAACAGTTATAGCACTGGATTACGGGTAACTTGTAAGTTGTTACTGGCATTGTCAGAAAACAAATATCTACAGTTCTTGGTAATAATTTACCAGAAAATGTGTATAGTATTGTACTCGTGGGCACATATACAGTCTCCCCGTTTTCATTAATTGTTCGTCTGTTCATTCTTTTTATATCAATAATTTTATGATTATTTGTTTTTGAGAATTTGTATAGGTCATCTATTGTGAAATTTTTATCTACATATTTTACAATTCCCTTGCAAGATACAAGGTTTGAAGGAATAAACATATTATATCCTTTTTCTAGTAATGTATTATTCTCTAAGAAATTATTTGCTGCTTTATAGTTTTTAAATTCTACACTTAATCTATTCCTGCCCTTTTTTTCAAATTTTTTTATATGTTCAAGGTTAAGTTCAAATATTTCTCTAGCTATGCTTAGATGATTTAGATTTCCTAAGTTTTTTTCCAATGTCTCATTAGCTTGAATATACACTATATAAGGACCACAATCATTTGTCTGATATTTGAATTTCTTTTTATTTTCAATAACGGGATGATTATTGGGGGGCGAAGGCCCCCCAGATTCTGGGTTCATTTTTGTATTTTAACTTTATGAATTAGTTAATATATGTATTTTATTAATGAAATTGATGCTTTAATTAAATTATTGTATGTTCTGTAATTAAGGATATCTTACCAAAGGGGATGTTGAACACAAATAGGTTAGTAAATATGTATCGGCACCGGCTTATCGCTTAGTCGACCACACTCGTTCAATGCTCACACCGAACTCTAACTTTGATCTATAAACAGAATATTAATTTATGAAACAGCCTTTTGACAGCTGTCAAATTTTCAAATGTCATTTTTTGTCTCTTTAAACAATAAATGGAATAATGAAGTTTTAAGTATAAAATTATTATAAAAAATTTGTGGGCTGGTAACAGCGACAGTAAGAAAAAAATGACACTAAACATTTCTCTAATTTTTTAATAGATCCTATAACCTATACATACAGAGCTTTCATAAATGATTACAAGCTACGTAACTACGTAACCAGTACTTTTTCTTTGGAATAGTAATTTTATTTCCTTCACGTTAGCTATTAAATTTATATAAAATTTCTATAATTATTAAAATAAAATAAAGGTTATAATAAAATACATTTTCTTTCGCTCGCCATGATTGGTGGAATTTTATCACGAAATTCTATTCAACCATTCAGCCATCGCATTATCTAGATCTAGAGCATAGTCGCAACGGTTTGTCATTGTTCACTGTAAACGAGTCATGGATTACTAAGATTTAGGGGTTTTAACTAATAATTGGTTGCCTAAGCTTGGTGGTCACGCGTTTTTGTAAACATTTATGCAGAATCTAATATAACGATATTTAGGACATCGATTTCAAATTGAACACAAATTTTAGTACTAGGATACTATTTATGTCAAATCACTTAATAGAGGAAATTTAATATTCCCAGTCTTAATATCCTCTGATAATCTAGAGCCACTCATTTATATATAATTATAACACATTTCAAAAGAACATTTATTTGACGACAATGTAATAGTCTTTACTTTTTAACTCGGACACAGCCACTTCAGCTGCCTGAAAAAGGTAAATTAATAATCAAATGTTTCAGTTGTTTTAAACAATCTTACATTACGAACAGTCTCTATTGAATCATACATCAAAGCCTCCAACGTATCCCTCAAAACATCACTCCAAAAAACTCTCATAGTACTCTCTGGCAAACATTTGCCTATAAACAGCAGAAAATAACTTGATCTCTCTCTTAAAATTGAATTCGAATGCCTCAGCAAATCAACGAAATTTATTTGCTTAACGTCTGGGTTGTTGGATTCTTTTAACAGGATCTTTTCGATGATTTCTCCGTTTTCAGGACACTGTCTCAACAAATGGGTCAATATGGCCATTACGTCTAAAACAATTCTCAGTCTCCTCTTTGCTGAAAACAAATTGATGATAAAAGCATATATCAACAAACATACAAATGCTTACACAAAAGCAACATTAATTTCATCAACACATAGGAAGTCAATACTACAACCGCATCGCAAAATTGCATCATAAAATGATCGTCCAAGTGAACTAGATGTGAAATTAGCAAGAACATGTATTCAAGTGCTTGGAAATCCTCCGTACATAACTCTGAAATGCCTCTGTAACTTTCTGCAGTAGAAGGCAGTGGAGAATTTCCAGGAGACGAAGCTTCAGAGGGAGTATGTTCTCTATATTCCCGAAGAAGTAATTTGGAAGCATACACTAAGTTGGGTACTAATTTTACATCCAGGTACACCTGAAAAAGTAGATTCACATCAATTACTTCTGAAAAGTCAATTTTAATGTATACAGGATGTTTAAGAAATGGTGGGTAGGCTTCACAAAAATTGACAACGATTTCCTAACAATTATCCAAATTTAATTAGGAACAAAGAAGTTACAATGAAAAATCGTCTTTTAACTCTCAACTTCAAAAGATAATAAGTCTACAGGGTGAGCCCGAATATAAAATATGTATATAAACACTTGTTATTTTTGCATATACGAGTAAATGATATGATCAGACAGCGGACAATTTGTGTCTTTAACCTTGAACATAGATATGTCATCCATAAACATAGATACATTATCCATGACACAGTGGCGTGTCGGGTACACATTGGGAATTTACGTGATAATTCACGAAAATTCCACGGTACATATATTTTTAGGCTTTATAGAATACTTAGAAAATCAGGTATTGTATAACTTCATATTTATTAAATAAAGTTCAGTTAAAAATAGTGTTGTTTCTTTAATTGGAAATTAGGAGTTAATGTAACGAATAACCTCAGGCGACCCATATGTTAGAATAGTCCAATCCACGCTCTATTCATATCAGGGCTGCAGTTTGAATTCGGACCAATAGGAATTCGATAAACGCAATCGATGTTGACCATATACTTATTATCTATGTATATGATGTTGACGGATGGACGAGAGATAGGTACGAGTGTCATTTGATATCTTTAGATTTAAATTAACTTACTTATTTTCTCGTTGTTTTACCAGTTTGCATGAGACGGATTTTAAATAAAGAATACAAATCTTCGCGAGGATAATACGATATATTTGCTATACATAATAATTATATTTTACAGTGCCGTAACTAGAAGAAATTTTACTATAGGCAAGCTTTTAATTTTGTGCCCATACTTAATTGTTAAATTAAATTGTGTAACGAAAAATATGCAAAAACTCAAAAACAAACATTTTATTTTTAAAAACGTAACAAAAACATAAAAATAGAACATGATGAATTGTTTGACTTAAATTATCAAAACTTAAAAAATATATATTCTAATATATAAATAAACTTCACAGTCACAACAAAATATAAACCTACATTTTTTGGTTAAGTAAATAATAAATATAAATAAAAAATAACACAATGACGACTGTAGAAACAAATAAATATTAAGTACAAAGGTACTTATTTGTAAAAAAGAAATTTAAAAGTAAATCTACTAATAATCAGGAATTAAAAAAATAATAAATTAATATACCGGGTGATTCATAACTTATAAACACAATTTTGTAAAAAAAAATCAAAAAAGGCAGTTCGAAAATTATTTAAAAATACACTTATGCATGGCAGATGGTCTACTGTAAAACCTGACTTAAAGCAAGGCAAAGCATGCAGTCGGCGACTGGCACAGCGGTAAAGTTTAAAAAAAATTAACGAACAAAAAATTGGAAGAATTTCTTTCTCAAGGAAAGAGATTAATAAAATTTTATAACACCTATTTTACATCAGCAAATTCAACTGTTGTTTATGCTATTATTAATTAATAAAATTAATTTGTGGTTTTAGTTAATAAAATAATTTGACATACCTGATATTACAACAACTGTTCAAAATTTTGTCCACCGACGTGTAAACACATTTGGGTCCGTCGTATCCAGTTTCTACGAACTAACACAAATGTTGTCTTGCTTCAATATAAATTAAAATGATATCCATCAACTCCCGAGTTGCTATATATGCAAACCATTTTTGGTACTTAAAGAACTAATGTAAACACTATCTCAAAAATGTAAACACTAACATCGGATTTCAGTATTCGGAATTGTCTGGGACCACGTGGAGAGAAAGCGCATTGTGCACATCGTACAACGTGAATGACGCTAGAAACTACAGTAGTCCAGCGATATAAAGGTTGAAAATACTACAAATTCAATAATTTTTTTTTTCAAAAACTACAAGGATTTTACAAAAATTCCCAGAATGTTTTTACAAAAATATTTTTTAAATTTTTGTGTTTAACTTCGTTCCATCCTAGCAGCTTGCGTGTGCCTACTCTGCCTATACCTTGTTACGGTGCTGATATTTTACACAGTTTACACATAATTCATTTTTGAACGCGTACGCATCTCTACCTGAATTTGACCTAATCTTGTTACGTTTTCGGGTTAAAGACACACATTGTCCGCTCTCTAGTTATGATCACTCAAGCAAAAAACCAAGACAACTCAAATTCATGTAAGAACTCGAGTACAGCTTTGAATGATGAACAAAATATTGTAGCTCGCTGGTATAGTGTGCCAGAACTGCTAATACTGAACATAGCAGTCCCCCGGGCAAGGCTGTTATTTTGTTATTTAATATTGTATTTCTGCCACACTGAAAAGGAGAAATTTGAAATAAATAACCACTTAAATAAATAACTTATCGTCATTTGTATCAGATGTAACAATTTATCATTTTTATTTTTACTTTTCCACGCTTCTTGCTAAAGAAGTAAGCAAGACATATAGAATTATTAAAAACAGCAACATCTAAATTTCGAGTGAAACTTCACTCGAGTTATTATCTAAATATTGGGACTGTTCGAGTACCAGTTACTTAAATCGTAGATGTAGAGATTGCCCACCACTTCCAAGAGAACCGATGCAAAGTTAACATTTTATAAACTGCTCGTATTGTTACCTTTTTTATTTGAGTCAGAGTGTCCTCTGTAGTTCCTTTAATAACAAAAGGTATAGACAACAACCGTGCCACAAATGTCAGTACTTTCGAATTTGCATTTGAGTTTCTTAAGGGCGAAACAATGATGTTTGTTTGACTTGGCTGTATGAGTGTGCCCATTTCACCATTTATTACCTCTTGTATTGTTCTTTGTAGGAAAACAATCCACTCGTCAGTTTCTATCGGTTGATTGTCTTCAATAAAATTCAATTTTTCAATGAAACCTGAAAAAAGTACAATTGTGTCTGTTGATATGATATTTTTCACTACTCACATTTATTCATTTTACTTTTCTCTCCGGTTTCCTTTTCTGAACAGTTTTGCTTCACATGATCAATGTTTGCCTTTGAGTCTTTATATGTCTCATTTTTGTTAAGGTTTTTCCTTTCACCTGACTTCTTTTGCTCTGAATAGTCCAATTTATTTGTTTCCCATGAAGAAAATCCTTTATTTTTATTTTCTAATGATAAATTTTGCAGATGTTCTTCCACATTGTTATTTTTAATGTCCTGGCTATTCGATCTTTTTGTGCTATTATTTGAGTGTTGAGAGGATGTTTTACTATTTTTTGATGCACTGGACTTTTTTTGTTCAGGAGCATATTCATTGCATTCATTACTTTTCGAAGATGCAGCTCTACAGAAGTTTAGATATAAAATTAAAATATTTTACTAACATCAAAGACAATAGGTACATATAAAATAACTCACTTATTATGTTTACTTTTAATGCTGTCTTTCCTCTGCTGTTCTTTCAGTTGTAAAGTATTTGCCGACAATGGTCTAGTAAGAGGCATAGAAGTTGTATTCTTTGATAAAGTTACATGACCTTTCACGAACGGATGACAAAGAATTTCATCCCACGTCATCCTTTTTGTCGGATTTTTCTGAAGCAACCCCTAAAAATACGGCATTGTTAATAACGTAAGTTGTACCGACAATGGTATACCTTTAAAAATGAAGTACAGTTGTCAGATAAAAATGTCGGCCACTGAATTTGTTCATGCCTAATAAGACGTATTAAATGCAGTATAGAAGCAGTACAGAATGGTGGAGTGCCCATTAGAAGTTCATATATGATGCAGCCGAGAGACCACAAGTCTGCATTATAGTCATAGGGCTGTTCGTCTATAAGTTCTGGAGCCATATATAAAGGAGTACCTTAAAATAATTAACTTTTTATATACTCTTAAAGGTAGTGATTATAACACATTCTTGGCCTATCCTGATAATAAGGTTGTAACTGGCAGCGACCAGGTACATCGGCCACGGTATAAAGACCCAAAAAAACCATAGCACTTTAAATTCTTAGAGGTGATCACAATTTTATACCTTTTATTGAAGTTAAGACATGAGTTCCTGTACTCATATTCCTTGCAAAGCCAAAGTCACATAATTTTGCACGATTTTTAATGTCTAATAAGATATTTTGTGGTTTTAGATCTCTAAAAAATATATGCACGACATTTACCTTCTCGTATATAGAAAACTTCATAGGTTTACCTGTGAAGAACTCGGTTAGAATGTAAATAACACAAAGCTGAAACCAAATCCCAAACGATTGGTTGGACACGTTCCTCCGATAAGTAACCTTCCTTCCCCAACACTGCAGTTAGTTCTTTATGAGCAAATTCAGTTATAACAACAATCTAGGAATAAATAAACTAATACCCTACAGATCTATTAATAGATATAACTTACCTCGTTTTCTGTTTCAAAGGAATCTAACATCTGAATTATGTTTGGGTGATGTAAATCTCTCTGAATTTCACATTCTCTACGGAAACCTTTCAGCTCTTTAGAGGAGCGTCCTCTCTAAAATGTATGTCATGTATAAATGAAATAATTTTTTTTATATTAAATACATACTTTACTAATCACTTTAAGAGCCACAAGGCTACTATCAGACACTTGTTTCGCTTTGTAAACTCTTCCAAAAGAACCCTCTCCTAGGGTTCCAATAACTTCATATTTATCCATTTTCTGTTTGAAAACAAAAAATGTAAACAAATCATAGATCTAATATAGAAATAAATAAACAACTTAACCTATCGCCGTGACACTGTCTGTCAAATCTTAAAACCACAAAACAGAAAAAAAGACAAAACTATGGAGTTTACAGTTTATGTTTATACAAGAGGGCCTTTCAATTTGGCAAAAATATCGTACGATTCTTGGCTACTCTATTAGTAGCTTAGCAGCTTAAAGTTACTCTGAACTGATATTAGTTGCTAATAGGTACTATTTTTGTCAAAACGAATGCCCCCAAGGAGTGTAGACTCCGTGTAAAAAAGTGCCATTTCTTGGGTCACGTACAGGCGGCGCTGATGTAATTATGAAGAGTATGAAAAGGGTGCGCGAGAAATTTAAAATGACAATGTTTGTATAAACGTAACTTTTATTTTTTTTTCGCAATAAATATTAAATAATCTACTTCGTCTGACGTTGTAAGCGCAACTTCGTTACTAGACTGTCCAGTGCTTCAGCGCTATAATAACCGCACCATTATTCGCGCGCCATCATTCCATGGCTAGAAATTGGCCTCAATGATTTGGGATGGAAGGAGATTATCCCTCTTTATCCTGCCTCATCTCGTGTATAGGCCTGGATAGCCTTCGTAGGTGGGCCCCATTCGTCGTCTACCGCGACCGCAAATGCGGCCGGTGGGTGTAGGCGCTTTGTGGGAGCTATAATAACTATGGAAACTACGCTATAACGATGACTCCTTAAACATTAAACTTTACTTTGGGCAAGACTTTAGCCCTGTTCGTTGTGTTTGCTTGAAGTACTCCAACACAATCGGAGGCGTTAGTTGAAGCCGAGCACAAAATCTATGTTGTTCGTTATGCAGGAGTACTTCACTCTGATCAATAAGATCATTGCTCTGGTTACACTGTCATTTGTGCTGGAGCAAAGGGAGTAGAGCAACTTGAGCAATCAGCTGATTTTATTTTTATTGGTTGATATATCTTACGTATGCCGGTAAACATGGGAATATTCACAATATTCGTCTAAACATGTTGATGCATTTTTCAATCCATTTTCTCATTCTTTCACTATTAATTCCGACAATAAACCTAATAAGTTTTCTTAATTCTTCTTCAATTCATGGTGGATAACAAATATGCTTTTTGTATACCTAAACAGAAGAAAAATTGCTAAAATACCCTAAATAAAGTAAACTTAAAACACACACGTATACAACAAATCAAAGCATAGGTTATCATCATCGAAAATTTTTTATGATAGGTTTTATTCAAGTCGTCTTAACGAACACAGACATATTACTCCAAGGTCGGACTCATGGAGACTAGTCTCCATGGTCGGACTGCTGACTGCTCTACTTTGTGATCTAAAATGATCTGAGGTGCTTTCGTTTTGGCAAAAATAGTATCTATTAGCAACTAATATCTGTTCAGAGTAACTCTAAGTTGCTGTCAGCTGCTGATAGCTACTAATTTTGCCAAATCGAAAGGCCCTCTGGTGACGTCACTGCTCCGTACTCTTCATGATCCAAGATCCCTTGGAGCTTGGAGCCACTATATGAGTAGCATCTAACGAACAGGGCTTTTGGGTCATAAAAACTGGATCCGAATTTGTATGCGCGGCACATAAGAGAAGAGCCTTCACTCCTTGTATAAACTCCGTAATTCAATGCATAGAGACTATACATCCAATTGTTCAATTTTTAGCTAATTAGGGATATTCTGTGATTTTTAGGAACATTTGTTATTGGCATTGGCTACACTGCATTCTAAACAGTCTGTAAAATGTCAGTTTGTCAGTTATATTTTAAAGATTGCTAGGTTATAGGTTTTTCTTTATTTTTTTGAGTTAACTAATAATGTCCCAAAAAATCGACCCCAGAGAAGTATTGACTTATTTAAATGAATTAGGTTACACGAATATTAATGCACAACAATTAAAAGACTTCATTACAGGTTTGTCCAGTTGCTATAAGTTTTATGTTACATATAATTTCCTATTTTCGTATATGTAGATTTAAAGAAGTTAATTAAACATGAAAATAAACGTAGGCAAAAGGAAAATACTGGAACAGTTACATCAAATTTCGTACCAACAATCTTTCTTCATAACCCGTACGGTCAAACACATATTAACGATCATTCAAAAAGTAAAGAACAGTGCTGTAATCATCCACTTTGTCCTTCCAATCAGGCAAATACTAGGCAGAAGGAGGAAGAACAAGAGGATGTATTTAGTCACCTTCACAGTCAACACACTGTGGCATCGAGAGCAAAAGAAATGCCTAGGAGAGAAAAACATATATCTGTGCATATTAAAAAACCAAAAAATAAAGCAGACATGCATGATCATTGTACACATCTTGCAAGGAGATCCAATGACGAGGATCAACAGAAAGAAGATTTACAGCTGATTCAAAATATAGAAACTGTTAGCGATGGGTCAAGGTCATATGTAAATACGGAATCTACAATTAAAAGTATTGATGCCACTTCGAAACAGAGTATTGTTACGAAACCTAGTACATCAAAAAAGAAGTCAAAAGGTTCATGTATGTTATTAAGATATCACTAATACATTTTATTTAAATTCCATCTTTATGTTGAATGTTCCAATATCAGCTACAAATTGAGTTATACACACATTTTTCAGATGTAATATGCAGCATATTAAATATATTTCACCAAACAAATCCATTATTTTCTGTAGTTTTTTCTTGCAAAGTAAAATTTTATTTATACTTGTAGTGTTTGCTTCAAAATATATAAACGGAAACATTCAATTAAAGGAAACACAAAATTTAATTAGGTGATTAGTGATTATACATAATCATTATTTTTTAGTTATCAGGTGTGGTTCTGCAAAATCTATAAACAAAAGCGATCCTGTGGCCTTATATCATTATTATCAGAAACAGTGGAAGAAACAGAAATTTCCTGGCCAAGAGAATCATGCTGATCTGAGGTGGTCGGTTCGAGAGAAATTGCTGAGTGGGCCTAAAGTTGATGTACACTCTTTGCCTTCAACTTTTCGAAGAAGATGCAACTCTTGGAAATGATGAAAGTTTTGACAAAGGAGCTAGTAGTTTTAAGTAAATTATTTTATTGAAAAGTTACAAATGGGTACCCAAATAGTACACGGCAGACTTTACCTTATGATAGGACTCAAAATATGGAAAAGCTCCTATAAACATGGTTCAGGAAATTCTTAAATTAAAAAAAAAAAATTTTTAAACTAATATCACTGAAAATGTTTGATAGAGACTATTTATACCTTTAAATAAATAAATTATTAGATTTAGGTAGTCTTATCTACTTAGATCATATATTATTGACCAATGTTTCAATAGATGTATTTTTTTAAACTTGAGCATGTGTAAAATTAAACTTTCTGAAACATACTTACAGGTACTTTTTTATTTTGCTTTTCTATCATCAGATAAAGTTTGCTGTGTTATTTCGGAAAGTACCCTGTATATTAAGATATTAATGTAGTATGCAATTTTTAAGAATAATTATAAAATCTGACTTTTTGTATGAGTATTCAAATGAAAATAAATATCTATTTTTGTACTTTTACTTTATTACATAGTCATTTATTTAATCGGTAAATTCAATTTAATTCTAGGAATTAAAAAAGTGATACACTCTGATTCAACTATTTTCTATGTAGTTTATAATACTAGCTGCTTCCAATCAAGAAAAAATGTACTCCAGAACAACTTGGATTAACTTTATTTTACTCTTAAAGTGTTGTTCATGTTCTCATGCACTACCCATTCCTAGAGTTTATACTCTCAAACTGTTTCCATAGTATGCGAAGTTAGAATTTTTTAATATTTTTCTAAAGATTATACTTACAGCCACGGATTATTATTATGTTATATATTATTTATTATATTTTATATTATTATGGTTATTATTTTCCCCACTGTACTTTAATAATTAAAATTTATATTGGCTCTGGCTTTTGGCTCAAAAAATTTAAAATAGTAGGTAGGTTTGTACCTACTTGAAAATTATTTAAATATTTGTGTTTCTCTCGGATGTGATCCAACTGATTATGTTTGGAGTTTTTAAAGAGTAGAATATAGTTAAAAAATACTCCAGGAGCAGTTCCCTGAGAATTGGAAAGCAGCTGCTGATACACAAGACACATAAAATTACTTATTGCTGGTTTGGTGATTATTCATGTGATTATGAAATTACAGGTATTTATAAGTCCATTCGAGTTGTTGGAAGGTGCCGTCCTCTGTCGGCGGCCATTGTAACAATTTGCAGTGCAACGAACTTTTATTTTCAAAAGTGTTTTGTGAAATTGTGTTTGTATATGTATGCAAATTACTGTACGGAAAAAATGGTAAGTTAACTGTAATCACAATTTTGGCACGTTCTGTAATTATTTAATGTTATGTTCGGAAGTTTTGAAAACACAAATATATTTTTTGGGGTTATGTCGATCATTTAATTTACAATTTCCGCTGTTTTGGTAATGTTAACAATATTTATGTTAACATTCTCAACAAATTAATTCTTAAGTTTATATTAGTACCTATATTATGTTGAAATTATTACATATAGATATTTTCTTGTACTACCTAAGTAGGTAATTAAGTACTATGAAATTCCAAATACCTACCTACTTTATCTAAGCTTCATATGGACAAGCCTTTTTTGCATTTTTTTTGTAATTAATTCTATAGATGTTTGGCCTTGTCCTTCAAGTATGTCGATTTATATATAAATATTTTAAGTCAAAATTTTAATTAAAAGAACATTTTATACACAAGACCTGCTTACATACTATTATGCTCCAGAATTCTATAATACCTATTTACAAAGTTGCTGTTCATGGGTGTCCTGGCACCTAATGCACAAACGTGTTATCAGAAAATTTAATTTTTTTTACTTATTTTTTAACTACCTATATATTTTCATACGTTTTATTTATTCTTGATTCCCCGCCGAGCTACCCGCGCCCTGATAAAATGTATGTCACGGAATAAAAAATAATAGTTTCAAAAATTTAATACCTACTGTTTTTATAGGCCGTACTTATCATTAGCCCTCCCCCTCACCCTCTGGTCAATTTTCTGCGGACGCTCATGTACTACTGAAAAGGAATATACCTGTTTCTGGAAAAGAAAACTCGTAGTGTATCTATGTATTAACCACAATTTGGCAATATCTATGAAATATTAAAAATGTTTATCCCTCTATTATGAGTTCCATTCTTAATATTTATTTTCTAATAATTTCAATCGTTTAGTCGAGTCGGAAGTATTTTTACAAATTTTTATTGATAACACGGAATTGTTTTTTTTAAACGCAATCGTAATATCGTTTTTCTCTGTAAACCAGATAAAATTAAAAAATTGTATGTACCTATATAGTCGGTAAAACGTTCTCATGATTAACTTAGTGATGTATTTTTAGACTTCATCCTTATCCATACTTGTTTGGGACTTTCTGGGTCAGTGGATGCTTAATTTTAAAGCCAAATGTTTTGAAAGTTGCCAAAACTGATTGAAAATGCGTGTCAAGCCCGACGTCGACACGCAGAAATTGCCCTTATTACGTACTGATATAAAAACTTCAGTCCCCTGGAAGCCTTCGGCAAGTATATTTTACGGGCAATGACCTCGCGTGAGCGCGTTGATTGTTATTTTTGTAATATTTTTATTTCTCACTGTATGTAGCTGCATGATTCAAATCGAGGTAGCCATACGTGAGCCGCGGTTGACTTCGATTACTGTTACTTATTTAATTTAATTTTGCGCCCAGTAAACATCAATGTGATGTATCAAGTAAAAAATAACAAACCCAAGAACTTGCACCGATGGTAATTGCATATAACGAACAATTTTAAATAAATTTTTTGTTAATCAAATTCACCCAATTGCAAATCAAATTGAACCGTTGCAAATCAAATTTACTATTTGTAGATTAAATTTAACCATTTGCAAGTAAAATTCACCCTGGTTGAACATTTCCGGGCTGGTTCTACGTCGTCCGTTTAGATTTCTTGACTTTTCAGGAGACATCCCTTCTTTAGAGGAAACTGCGTTCTGGCTGGTATTTATACAGACATACGTTACAAGGCACGTGACCACTAACCAGTAATTTTATTTGGAACAGTAATTTTATTGCATTCATATTGGCAACTAAATTTCGGTAAATTTAAAAATTATTAAAACAAGCTCACGAATACATTAAAACACAACATTCTCTTTCACCGGCTGTGATTGATGTAATTTTTCACGGGTTTCTACTCGTATTCAGCTAATCAGCAATCGCATTATTTCGAGCGTAGACGTAAAGCTTTTGTCATTGTTCATTGTAAACAAAACGTTAATATTAGTGATGAAAAATTTAGGGATTTTTCGTTATCAGCAGCAGCCCTGAAATGTTGGTTGTCTAAGCTCGGCGAGCATGTGGCTTCTAAATATATACGAAGGCTCTGTATTTGGTGTGTGCGAGCATGGCTTGCAATCACTATCCTGAGTCGTTCCAGCTCTTTTAAGTTTTGTCAATGAGTCGTTATCAAATGCAGGTAGTTATACCCTTATATCTCAATTGAAATTATCTCCGCTTTTTGGAAATGCACTCAATGAGACTGATGGAGACTGCAATTAAAACATGAGTTTAATATTTTCAAACGCGTTTTAATTGCCTTAATTGAAACAGGTAATAGAAAAAAATAATAATTTTTAACAAAAAGTTACATATAAACAAATATTACGCAACCCTTAATAAAAAAAATAGAAGTTGTGGAAATTATAATAAAAAAAAAAAGTTTTTTTTCGAAGTTTTCAAAAATATTTGAACTAAATGTTGCACACGCGGTGCATGGACTGAGAGCCATAAAAGGGAATAATGATAAATTTCGATCTCTACCAATGGCAGGGTTATGGTCAACCAAAGACATTAATTAATTCAGCAAACAATTAAAAAAGTTATCATTTTTGGGTAGACCATGTTGGTTTTCAGTTTCAGGCTCATTGCTATTTCTACTAGAATTTTAAGCAAAACAGTAGATGTTATGGAAAACAAAATTAGATGAATGCAGATGAATGTACCCAATCTGCGTGATATCTAATTTCGTTAAAAGTTTGGTAGTGGTTTGCTGTTTGATATTCAAAGTCACAACAATGCCATTTCAGATTACGAATGAGGAATATGCAGTTGTCAGAAGATTTCTAAATCCACATCGCAGGGTGTTCGTGACTGTGTATTAGCCCTGTGTGCTTAGGTGGCAGAAATCAGTAATATGAAGCAAGAAGACAAATGGACATCAGACATGATAGGCAAGTGTTGGATGTTTTTGACAGAAGATAGCAATTTAAAAAGGCATCATGATAAAGCTTCATCTTTAATTTATCCATCACAATTCACAAGATCCAGAACGTCGCTTAAGTTTCTGCATATGGCTCTTTAACAAATGGTAAGGTCCTCACTTCTGCTCAACAGTATTATAGACGGATGAGTTGTGTTTTAGTCGAAAAGGAGAAGTAAACTTCCATAATTCGCATAGGTGGGCCACAGAAAGTCGTCACGTCATACGTCCTTAGAACATTCAAGAAGAGAGAACGCGTGGATACATGACCATTTTTTCTACTAGATATAATTAATGGTCATCTTTTCCTTTAATTAATTATAGAACAATAATTTGTTTGACGCATAGGACTAGCTTAATACAAATTACCCGATTAGATGTACAGGACAAGGTGGGCTTATAGCATGGCCACTGCGTTGTCCAGACTTCACACCCCTCGATTTCCTTGTTTGGAGTTACATTAAAAATGATGTTTATGATACGTCAGTAGACACTCGCGAAGAATTATGAAATCGAATTCGAAACATTTCCCGGACAAAAATTCCAGATCAGCTTGCTAATGTGAGGCAGTTTATTATTTGTAAAAGCCTGAACGCTTTGAATAATGCAGCCACGAATTTTATTACTTTAACAAAAGTGGGTTACTTTTATTTTTGTCTGAATCAGTAATTACCGTTCTTTACACCCTTGCAATTAACAACAAGTTGATTGCTACTATCTTATTGTAGTATTTGAAAAGGTAGAGACTTTCTTTTAAATCCCAGTATGCTTTGTATTTTCCCCAGAAAGAAAAACGTTCTTACGTAAAATATAGAGTAAAAATTGATTTTATCCAGAACCTTACCACTTTTTTTTACTGAATTATTGCCACTGTTTACTCATAACTCCGGCGCTGGCGCTGTTACCGACCAACCAAACTGAAATGGACTTGTTGTCTTAACAGAATAGTTGCTTCTTCAAACAACGTTGGCAAATCCTACAACCTGCCCAGCAGAAAGGTTGGGCCAATCAGAAAGTCTCCAACAATTTCCATCTGCATATTAAGAAGAAACTCGTATTAATGACGGATTTCTGACACCACTATGGGTTTTCAGAAGATAGAAGTCATTGTGGCGTCCTTTAAAAGATTTGTCTCGTCGGCAAAGAGTATTTATGTAAAGAACAACTCTATGTGGAAAATCTTAGGGTAAAAGTGCTTGTACACGTTAAATAGATATGATAAGAATGCAAAGGATAATTTTAAAAAAAACCTTCAAACAATGTTAGCAGTCTTCCTAGTGTCCATTTTCAACAATATATATTTTAAAACTCCCGAGATCACTAAGACGCTGGTGTAAGTTAACATCTTATGACATGGGATAACATGATCCAATAACGTTTGTCATAAAGGTACCTGGTTGCCGTTAGCAAGACCATAAACGAAATGAATATCGCGCTCTTCATTATTCGTGTAGTTTACCAATTTAAAGACTAAGTTGTACAGGGAAATGCCTGTTTTATTAGATAATATGATTTGAGATTGCAATTCATTTACAAGTGTTAACAATAATGTATTATTTTCAAAAATCCTTGACGAGCAACAATGTTAATGTTTTTTTTTTGTAACATTTTAAAAAATGAAAGAGACTAAAAGGACGCAATGAAAGAACCATTAGCGGTTGCAATTTCCAGCCCTTCTCACGGGTTCATGGGTGATTAAAACTATTGGTGTAAGATGCCTTTGATAAGACCAAGCAATATCCCAAATTGCATTCTTCTATGTTTCTCCAATTGTAAAATATGGAAAACTTAATTTTAAAGGATAGCAGACGTTTTTGGAAACAAGTTTACATGAAAGATCCTCCTTATTTTCTGGCAAGGAGTAGCTGCTTAAGATTTTTTACAATATTAAAGAAAAATAAAGCGTCCAATAGCTTTGCTAGAGTTTCTAAATAATTGGTTATATTTGAAATATGTGCTATTTTGGTGATATACCTACATCCGCGTAGCAGTAGTCCGATATCGGAAAGTTTCCTAAAGAGGTG